ATATATATATATATATATATATATATATATATATATATATATATATATATATATATATATATATACACTAAAATAAATAAATATAATGTTCTTACTTCGCATATTTTCACTTATCGCAGTGGGGTCTGGAACGTAACCCCAACGATAAACGAGGGCCTACTGTAGTTTTTCCCAGAATGTTACATATCTGTACATCCATGCAAATATGAATGAATAAATAAGAAGTGTTAGTGAACATGGCAATATTTCTAGAAATCTCCTAATCTACATGAACACTAATGTTTATGCTGGGTTTGTAGCACTGCAACTGTGGGTACGCAAAGCTGAAACAATAAACTTGTGAATTAAATAAATAAATGCATTTCCTTGTGAACAGCCCTTAAATGTTAATTCAGAAATCTCACCATCTAGAGAAGTCTCCAGCACTCCAAGAGTTGAGAACTACCAACACATCAGTGGTGATTTTCCCATCTGCTGTCTTCATGTCGTCTTTGGCGTCATTGTTGTAGTTACCACAGACGCCACACATTTTACCGGACAGATTAGTGTCAATAGTGACGGTAACCTCCTGCGAAATGGAGTAGGTGACCCACACAGCTGACTGCCTTTTGATGATCACACTTCTGTCTGCGATTTGGATCGATAGCTCATTGGTCACTTGGCTGGGAAGAGACACTTTCCTGCCATTTATCTAAAAGAGAAGAAATGCTTTTTAATTTAGACATCACTTTAAAACTAAACTTTTTCAAGCAAGTACTTTAAAGCTCCTCACCCAGGCCTCCTGTTGGCTGTTCACCGTCACTGTGGCATCTTTAAAGAACACATACACTGCTGCAACGGCGATGGAGTCCATCTTGCTGCAGATCCTGACATCCGCAACTACACGGAACCACTGCTTAGAGTTTTCGTCGCACACAGATGCCAACTCGTATGCCCCCTGAGTTTTAACTGTTCCGGACATGCTGTCGAAGGAGCTGAGCTTGCCAACTGGGCTGACGCTGCAGTGGGCCTGTTTGATGTGACAACCCCTGACCCCGTCTCTTACATCACAAACCTCGACACTGGCACAGGACAGCTTCTCACACTTGACCAGCCCTGAGGCCTGGCACAGGCAGGAAGAGCTGCAGTCTTTGTCCACCACTGCTTGACCCACCTGCGTTTGTAGAAAATGAAGTCATTGCATCATTATGAGTTGTACATTTAGAACTTGTTACCTGTTGAAGTTCAAGGTTTAACGTTCTTTATTCAATTTAATTCAATTTATTTATATGGCGCCAATTCACAACACAGTTGTCTCACGGCACTTTACAGAAACATTCATAGACATAGAAAAGCCAGTTAGTAAAGTTCTCTATCTAAGGAACCTCGTTTAATCTTCACTTCTTCTAAGTCTCCCATCTTTATTGTCATTCGCATCACATGTGGTACATGAGATGGAATGAAATTGTGTACTCAAGATCCCAGATGCACCCCAAAATAGCAAAGATATAAAGTATAGAAGAAAAAAAAAGAAACAGTATACAAGGATCTAAGATATATATACTCAACAATAATAATATAATATGGTGTATTAAACAGCAGCCTGATCATGAGTCTGTTGTGAGCAGATAGGTATGAATACAGCAGCTTAAAGGCAAGAAATCAGCAACATGGATAATCAGCAGCACAGATAAAGTGACATATCACCAACTAATGTGGCGAGTGCATGGCAAGAAGTCAACCCAATACTAGGCTATCACAATAAAAAAAAATAAAAAATAATAATAATAACTGTTACTTATAGGGATATTGAACTAAAATTTTGTGAGAACTGCTTAAAGCCAAATTACTTCAACTTTGTTGAAAATTTGGCCTGCAAGCTTGTGGATGTCATGCATTCCTTCAAGGACTTCTAGGCTTATTTATTATTGATCTAAGAACAAGAGACATTAGTAAAATCTTTACCGTCAGATATCTGTTGTTGTGCACACATCCACAGTTTTCAAAAGGAACACACTGGATGCCATCAAAAACAAAGCCAGCATCACATTGGCATCCTTCAAAGCATCTTTCAGAGCAGGTAACTTGTTGAATGAAGCTGGCACACGTCCCAGCACAGGTGTCAGCGCACATTTCATAGTGACTGTTCAGAGGGCAGGGAGCAGCTGAAATGGGACAACATTTGCATACTGAAAACAAGTGCAGGAAACCTGTGCAAAATACACTGAAATAAATGCAGCTGAGTGGAACCTACGACAGAAGGAGTTGCTCCTCCATGGCTGGATTTGAATTCCTTCGCTCTGGCAGGCCAGTGCGTAGGCCTGCACGCTGTCACACAGAGTGTTCTTGTTGCCATCCACAGCACAAACATCAAACACACAATGAGACATGTATGCTGCAGGATTGATTTTACTGTGGCATGCTTTAAAAGGCCCGTTAGGTGCACTAATAATGCCACAGTATTCAGGCTTTCCATACAGAGTAGCCTTGGCCTGATCACACACTGGACACTCTCCTCCACAGCCACCACACACATACCCAGGCAGGTCCAGCACCCACGCACTCCCAAACTGATCAACGTTATTAGTTTGTTTGCCTCCAGGAAGTTGGAAATCATCACCATCTTTTTTGTTGTAGTCACCACAAAGGCCGCACATTCTCTCCTGGTATGTCGAAGGAACAATCACCTCAACATAATACACTGTGTCATAGAGGACTTTGAGTCCGAACACAGTTTGGACTTTTATATTGTGACCTTCTTGTGTAACTGTGAGACGGCCCTCCTCTAGCGAGAGAGGAAGGTTGAACAGTTCATCATTCACCTGAAAGACAAAAGTATGAGATTGTGATTGTGAGAACTTTTGTGAGGAGATAATCATGAACAAGTGCTTTGCATGAAAGTGTTCAACTCACAATGACTTTCCATGGCATTCGCTGCTGGATGTAAATCACATAACCATAGACTGACACTGCAATAGACTTCGTCACAGCCACTTTTCCATTACCATACTTTTCATTGCCCTGAGTGACTGTAAAAGATGGGAGCTGTCCGTTGTCATCATTGCACACCTTGGCCAGAACATACACACAGGTACCCTGGAAATCAAACTTCCTCCCATCAAAGGAAATGTAATGTGGGTCACCAGAAGCCACACACTTTCCTTCCCCTTCTGGGTGGCATCCTTTAACTCCGTTCACAAGCTTACAAACTTCTCCTGGACGACAATTGACCTTCTGGCAAGTTATAGCCCCATTCTCTCCGCAAGTGCATTTCTCCATACACTTGTCTTCAGGATAGAAAAAGTCACCTTTCTTGTAGTACTGGCCATTATAGGAGCATCCACACTCTCTCACAGGCATGCAGGCATCCCCACTCAACAGGTAGCCTTGGTCACATTCACAGGCCTCTATACAGTGCCTTTGGCAGGTGGTGGCAAATGAGGCCAAGGTAGCACAAGTTGATGGACAGCCCGTGGCACACAAGGTATAATGGCTGTTAGCGGGACATACCATTGCTGTGGGATAAGGTAGAAACAAATTAAAAATTACTCTAATATTCTTAATTAAATTAATTGTAATACTGCTTTGCATGCTAACCTTTACCGTATTTGGACACTCTGTCTATGTGGTGGGATGGCTCATCTACTATGAAACCAAATTTTAGCTTAATATCTGAAGTTGACTACCGGTAAGTTAGATTTTTTGTTTACTAATGTCAATTGACTTTCGTGACCATCTAAAATTGGGAGGACTTTGAAAGAAAATCAGTTGTAGATGTATGCACACACGCACATGATTACATCACCACCTGTTTTGTTATAGCAGGCAATAATAAAATGCCATTTAAAACAGAATAAACAGTTAAACTCACGACAGAATGATTCTGTTCTCCAGGATAGTATAGCCACTCCTCTGCTCTGACAGGCAGATGCATACACTTCCAAAGCATCACACACTGATCCACGATGTCCGTGGTATTGGCAAACATCATAAACGCAGTCCTCCATGTAAGGAGCAGGTTCCACTTGTTCATGACACCCTTTGAAAGGCCCCGCTTTGTCAACAATGATATTGCAGTATTTTGTCGCCTCGTACACCTTCTTCTGGGAGTCTGAACAGGCCTGGCACCACGGCCCCTGGCAGACTGATGAACAGCCTGGTACTATGGCCACCTGCCAGCTGTCCCCGAGCTTGGATCCATCAGGAGCAGGTTTGCCATTCTGCATGGTCAAGTCATCTTGGGTATTCCCGTTGTAGTTGCCACACAGGCCGCAGACCGCGCCCTGGTAGCTGCTGGGCAGAGTGACTCTCACTGTGCTCTGCCAGTCAAAGCTCACAGTAATTCCAGCTGCTGTCTCCAACACAGCTGTACTACCACTTCGAAACACTTTGAGCTCATTATTATAATCCAGAGGCAATGAAGCGAGCTGCCCGTTGAGCTGAAGAGCAGAGAATGAGTGAAATATTTATTGAGGATAATGGATTTAATAATTTTGCTGGCCTCGCTAATCCATTTTAATGTGCAGTCAAATTTAAGCTTAATTAAGACTGTCTGGATTAAATTTTAATGTGCAATTTAAAGTGTATACAACAGAAGATGTGGAATGACAAAATTAGCACACAGTCACAAAAGAAATGATCCACCCCTTTTAATCAGGTTGAAAAAAATTGTCCCATTTTTCTTTTCAATCCTGTGTGAAGCTGTCTCAATATTCATCTTTCTATAAAGGTCCTTCAGAAGCAGATTAATCTTTGCTGCATCACCCATATCTTCACAATAATACTTACCAAGACCTTGTAGGGGTATTCTCTGCTGACTATGAGAGTAGCATCATAAATGGATATTGTGACAGTCTTTGTGTAGGACACAGCCTTGTTTCCTCGGTTGTCATTCTGTACCGTCACTTTGAACGGCACCAGCTCTGGCTTCTCAGAGCAAAGACCAGCCAGCTGATAAACACATGTGCCCTGGAAGTCGAATTTGCGACCATCGAATGTATGATAGTGTGGGTCGCCTGAAGCCGTGCATGTGGCGTAACTGATGGGTTGGCAAGTGCGCTCCCCATCTACTATGGTGCATTTCTCATTGGCGGAGCAGGAGGCCTCGCGACATGTCACCATACCCAAACTTGTGTCGCAGACGCACAAGCGACCACACACCTCATCGGCCCAGAACTGCTGTCCTGGCTTGTAGTAGCGGCCCTGATAAGAGCAGCCGCATGTCTTAGCAGGCACACAGTCACCAGCGCTGAGGACATAACCTTTATCACACACACAGGCCTCTATACATGTATCTGTGCATTTCTGCTGTTCCTCAGGGAACGGGCAGGATGGCTGGCAAGGGTTAGCACAGTCTTCATAGTGGCTGTTACGCTGACAGTTCATTGCTGAATGTAAATAAAATGTAGACAGGCATTAAACAATGATCAATGTAAACATTTACCTGGAGCAAAATAGTTTGCAAAATACTTACGACAGCCAAATGTCTGTCTCCAGTCCTTAATTATCACTCCTTGTGCACGGCACTGTTTACTATAAGAGTCCAGTGCTTGGCACAGCATTTTTTTGTCCCCTTTATTGAAACACATGTCGTACACACAGCTGTTCATGAAGGCCTGGGGGTCCAGTTTTTCATTACAATTCCTAAACACGTTATTGGTCTTGGCTGCCAGGGCACCACAAAAGGCCTGGGTCTCATAGAGTTTCCTGTCGTTATCGTCGCAGGTCGGACAGTTTTTTTCACAACTGTCCCAGCACGGATAGTCCTTGTCCTGATCGGGTGTTTGCCAGCTCTTGGCCCATTCTATCACTGAAGAAATAGCATTACCAGCAGGATTCTGAAGTTCGTCACCTGTGTTGCCATTGAAGTTGCCACACAGACCACAGACACTACCGTAGTAGCTACTGGAAAGCTTAATGACCAGATGCCAGTTGTAATCATATGAGACAGTCAGGCCAAAATCAGTCACAACCTCGGCAGTGGGTCCTTTTTGAAGCACGGATACTTCACCATCACCCAGATTTACAGGAAGATTCAGCAGCTCCCCATTCACCTGAGAAGCACAGATCAGAGCTATTTAAATATTGTGCACACTGAAAAACGACAAACGATAGTCTAAAGTCTTACCGTGACTCGACCGACTTGGTTCTTTCTAATTGTGATGGTGTACCCATACACGAGCACATCAACCTCCCTGACGTAGGAAACGGCTGTGTTTCCTCTGTTATCATTCCTCTCAGTGACAGAGAATGGCACTAGACCGTCCACGTTCCCACAGGTCTTTGAAATGATGTACTTGCAGGTTCCTTGGAAGTCAAAGTTTAGCCCATCGAATGTGTGATAGTGGGGGTCACCCCAAGCCCAGCAGGTGCCTGTGTACTTAGGGATGCACACAGCCTCACCGTTCTCTACACGACATGTTTCTTGAACACGACACTTGGCATCTTTGCAGGGGTCTGCAAAAGACATGTCATATTTACATGAATTTCTCATGTTAATTAAAATAATTTTCTGTTTATAAAATTAGTGTATACAAATAAATGGTATGCCTTGCCTGTATTGTAGCATCCTTTTATTCCATTCTTGACCATGCACTTGGTGCTTGTGGGGCAGGTGTGTTTTTCACAAGTGAGGCCTGTTGCTGGATTACAGGTGCACTTTGTGTTGCAATCCTCCTCATATACAACTTCGCCAGGCTGGTGACAAAGCAAGTTGATAAAAAAATTTAAATCAAGGACAAAACTGAAAGCTTTTTATTTGAATTAAAGGCATTGCATTTCCTTAAGAAATGCATCTTGACCCGCACATTATGGACAGGTAAACTAAAATCTTATGATGAAAAATGATTTGGCAGTTTAGGTCAAACTTATATGACATTGTGCACAATGTCACTGATATAAAATACTAACACTCAGCATGTGTTGTGAATGACTCAGGTAACACCACACCAATTGTTATCTCCGTATCTGACTTAGTCAGTGATTCTTGTGATTACTAATGCAGATTAGCTGTGGTGGTCAGCTTGAACTGAGTTGACTCCAAAATGTAAGGATTTATAGATGTGCAACAAATGATTGTTTTTTTAATAAACATACATTGGTACATGAGATATTTTGCTAACATAAATTTGACTCCCAGCAGTTAATGTTTAAACAAAATTAGTTTATTAGTTATTATTAGTAATTATTAGTTTAAACAAAATTTCTAAGTCATCGGTTAGAGCTCGGAGTATGTGTTGGGGACAACAACGTTTGTGTGTTTTCAGATAAGACAAATATGTAAAAGCATCGCCTTCTGCTTTAAGGCCCTGTCACACTACAACTTTTTAGACTCATGCAACGTATGAAACTTGTTCAACACATTGCACCCCCGGTCATTAGTTTTGTATTGATAGACATGCCTCAGAAGAAATAAAACAAATCTGTGATCCAGGAAGCTCCAGCAGGATCCTTCACCTTTGCAGTGATAAATGTGGACCTCTACATCTCATGGATCCAGCAGGAGCTCATCATTTGCACCCTGTATATAAATGGACCCCCAAAACACTAGCAAATATGCATGCTGTATGTTACAAACATGTTCAGTAAGTTCCATGTTTGTCAGCTATATGTTAAATAAGTCAATATACAGCAAATAAAAAAAACAATAACAAACAAACAAAAAAAATACATAGAGCACAAGCTGCTGTTGCAGTTGCAACTCACACTGAACTCAATTTTAGCCAAGCTAACTACCCCTGGTGCTCACTCACAATTCTCCACACCTTTGCACTCCTCCTCTGTCACACCCACACACATGCCTCTTGCACACCTAACTCCCCCTACCCTTTGGAACTAGGAGCATTAATATTTAAGTAAAATGCCTGATACAAGTTACAGATCAGTCGAAAGTTAATTACTCGTCGGTTAGAAATAAGATATGCATACGCTCCACAATTGCCCTGATGGTGTCTGATGTATGTCAACTTATAAGTAACTTACATGTAACATGCATGAACTTATGCATAACATACCTGTTGCATACCTGTAACTTGTGCCTACCTTATCAGCAACATGTTGACATACAGGTATGTCGGAAATTTTGTGCGTGCCCCAAATTTTTGGACGGTATCGGCAACTTATGCCATTGTGAATCAGTGTGCTAGTAACTTATTTGAAATTTACACCTAACTTATGTGACTTACACCAGCATGTTTGCCTTTTTTCATTCATTGGCATATGCTGATGCTATATATCACTTTGTGACAGGGTCTTTGGGAGGCAGGCAACAAATTTTAGATATCATTTGCACTACCATGGAAGAAGTAAAAACTGTATGAAATACACATGTTCCACAAGAGCTGAATTGTACCTTGTATGTTTTTCCTTTATCATAGCAGCCACATTCAGTTTCTCTGACACATGTTTGTCCATCGAACAGGAAACCTGTATCACATTCACAGCCTTCTGCACAGCCGGTGGGGCAGTCTGCAATCTCTGTGAGGCCGGGGCAAGAAGCAGCACAGTTTTCGGGACACAGCTCATAGTGACTGTTGGAGGGGCATTTCATGGCTATTGTACAGAGACACAAGATACACATAAAATGAGAACGCTTTACAAAACAAATAATTAAAAAATATTTCAGTTATAAAACTTACGGCAGAAAGATGGAGTCCTCCAGCTGTTGACATCCATTCCTGCTAAGTGACAGTTATAGGCATAAGCTGCTACACTGTCACAAAGCACGGCTCCATCTCCATTGGAAGCACACAAATCAAACACACAGTCATCAAAGTATGGCTGGGGGTTGAGCTTGCTGTGACAGCCTGCAAACGGACCTTTAGGTTCTGTTAGAATACCGCAGTAAGTGGGTTTGGAAAACACAGCCTTTTGAGCTGGGTCACAGTTGGGACAGTTATTCCCTTCGCAACCATTTTCACACACCACATTAGGAATGGTGACCTTCCATGATCCCCCAAAGTCATTGACATTGGTGGTGAGTTTATTGTTGGACATCTGGAAGTCATCTTTATTGTTCCCGTTGAAGTTGCCACACAGGCCACAAACCTTTTCACGGTAATTACCGGGTACTGTGACCGTTACTTGATAGACCAAGTCGTAGGTTACGATCAGGTCAAAATTAGTTTTGATAACAAAATTTCTTCCTTCTTGATTAACTTGAATTGCTTTCTCATTAAGATTCAGAGGAAGATTATGGAATACTCCATTAACCTAAACAAAATCAGAGGTTTTATTAGAAAATAAAAAAACAAAACATTCAAGTGAATGTTCTTTTACCAAAAGTTGTCACGCACCAGCACTCCTTGCATTTTTGTTCTCATGATAAGAGTGAAACCGTAGACCTCCACTGCAACCAACCTGGTGACTGAAACCTTTTTCTTTCCCCTCATTTGGTCCCACTGCTCATTTTCCACCTGGACAGAAAAGGCCTCCAGGTGGGTACCTTCCAGCCCACAGCTTTTAGAGAGAGTGTAGGTGCATGTGCCCTGGAAGTCAAATTTTTGCCCATCAAACGAAAGGTAATGAGGGTCACCAGAGGCCTGGCACACCCCTTTACCAATAGGGAAACATTTCTGGATTCCGTTTTCTAGCTTGCACTTCTCATTAGGGCCACATGTAAACTTTTTGCATACAACCTGAGAAAACAGCACAGGAGATGGACAAATTATTTTCCATTCATGCTTAGCGATACTTTTTTTTTTTACATTTTATTTATTTACCTCTCCATCCTCTGCACACTTGCATTCTTCCTGACATTGTCCACTGGGATAAAACACTTCACCGACACGGTAGTAGCGGCCATTGTAGCTACAGCCACACTGTGAGAAGGGGACGCAGAGATCTCCACTGAGAATAAAACCTTCATTGCAGGAGCAGCCCTCCTGACACAAAGCTTCACAACCCCCAGAAGGAGCCAGACTGTTGCATGTTGCAGGACAGGCAGTCGCACAGACTTCATAGTGGCTGTTAATGAGACATTTAACAGCTGCACACAAGGAACAAAATTCAATAAATTGTTAATATCACAAGCAAAAAGATTAATACACAGAAGAGGATGTACATAAACTAACAGATTACTGTTTATTGTTTATCCTATAGGAGTATTTAAGTAAGCACTATTCACCACAGAACTGACTGGTCCTCCAGCTGTACACTGTTGCACCCACTCCTTGGCAGGCAGATGTGTATGATGTAATAGCTTGACACAACACGTCCTTTCTGCCCTTATACAGGCACACATCATAAACGCAGTCTTGAAAATAACCAGCTGGATCTAGCTTGGCATGGCACTCACGGAAAGGCCCTTTGGGGTCACTGATCATGCCACAAAATTCTCTCTTTTCGTATTGAACTTTTTCGGTAATGTCACAATTAGGACACACCCCTTTACAGCCTTCAACACAGCCTGGAATCTCTGCCACTCGCCAACTGGTACCAAATTCTGTAGGCTTGACAGGTTTGTTGCCATTTCTTGGAGTCAGATCATCCTGGGGTATCCCGTTGTAGTTACCACAGAGTCCACAGACTGCTCCCTTGTAGTTGCTGGGCAGTGTTACAAAGACAGCACTTTCCCAGTTGAAAGTGACTTTCAGGCCAAAATCTGTGGTGACGACAGCATACCAGCCACTCTTATACACGGATACCTGTCCCTCGTTAAGACTGACAGGCAGGTTGACCAGCTCATCATTTACCTGAGGAGAAAGCTCAGTGGAGGTCACAAAGTTTTAAAGCATAATTAAGGTGTGTTAAAATGTTATAATCTTACCATAATCAAGCCTTTATGTGTATTTGTTATGACAATGTTGATGGAGTACACTTTGATCTCGACTAGTTTAGTGTAGGCAACCGCCTTGTTGGCACGGTTCTCATTCTGTACCCGGACTTCAAAGGGAACCAACTCTGGGTTCTTGGAGCAGAGTGCAGCAAGTTGGTACACACACGTGCCCTGGAAGTCAAACTTCTCCTTGTCAAATGTCACATAGTGGGGATCACCGGTGGCCTGGCAAGTACTGAACGACATGGGCTGACATTTTCTTATGCCATTGACCACCTTGCATTGCTGACTTTCCCCACAGCCTTTATTCTGGCACTCCACACTTCTGCTTCCTGGGACACATTTACACCATTGCTTACAGTTCTGGTCGGCCCAGAATGCCTCCCCAGCAGGAATGTATCGACCCTCATAGGTACAACCACACTTTGCAGCAGGAACACACTTGTCTCCGCTTAAAACAAAGTCTTTATCACAGGTACAGGTTTCCACACAGGGGCGTTTGCATTTAGAGGGGGCATTGGGGTCAGAACAAGTGGCAGGGCAGGCATTTCCACAGAGCTCATAGTGGCTATTGGCAGGACACTTAGCATCTGGAATGAAGAATAAAACAATTTTTTAAAAATAAAGCAGGCTGAATTTTTTTCCATTATAAATACATTTTTTATGTCAGTTCAGTTTTTGTTTCTTACAGCATTTTGCCATGGTCCTCCAGTCTTGAACCTGGATCCCAGCATCCTGACAGGCATCAATGTAAGCTTCCAGGGCATTGCAGAGAAATTGTCGAAGACCACCTCCCATGCACAAGTCATATTTACAGCTTTCTAAGTATGCTTGTGTGTTAACAACTGGATGACACTTGCTAAATGGGCCATTTTCTTTTGTGATGAGCCCGCAAAATGAAATACCCTCATACTTATTCATCAGATTGTTATCACAGCTCCCACACCCACCCACACAGTCATCTCTGCACTGAGGATCTGTCCCCACACCTGGCACCTTCCAGCTGCTCCCAAAAGCCACAACCTCACCAGCCTGAACTCCAGAGGGTGTGGCAAAATCATCATTGGGGTTGCCATTGAAGTTACCACAGAGTCCACAGGTCTTACCAGCGTAACTGTCAGACAGAGATACTACAAGATTATGATCCCAGTCATAACGAACTGTGAGACCAAAACTGGTCTCTATAACTGCAGAGCGACCACTCTGAAATATGTTTAATTTGGCATTGCTCAGAACGATGGGCAAACTCCACAAACTATTGTCAATCTGCAGAAACAAAAACACAACACATTTTTATATGTTACACAAATGAGTAAAACTAAAAAGTCTGTTAATTGCAACATATGTTGAACACTTACTCGCACACGGCCATTCTCAGACCGAACCACGGTGATTGTGAGGTCATACACCTTTATAATGACCTGGCCAACATATGACACTTTGCTGCTTCCCCTGTTTTCATTTACAGCTAGGACTTCAAAGGCTGGAAGACTGCTATCTCCACACTTTTTAGCAATGATATAGGCACAAGTGCCCATAAAGTCATAGCGTTTTCCATCAAAGGTATTGTAGTGAGGATCCCCCATGGCCCAGCAGGTACCAAACCTTGGTTTCACAGGTTTGGAGACACAGGAAGGATACCCACTATTCATTTCACACACTTCATTAGGACTGCAGGTGATACTGCTGCAGGACAGAGATCCACTTCCTGACAAAACAATGTACAGTTAACATCTACACCGAGTTTATTAATGCGAAATGCTTGTGTTGATGGAATGAGCATTTTACCTGGCTGTGTACAGTGTCCTGCAGCACCATAACCATTCATCTGACTGACTCCTATGCTGTAGAGACCAAAGCTGGAACCAGAGCTGGACACAGAGTGAACATCATTGCCAGGGGCTTGTTTGTAGGACATCTCTGCCCAGGAGAAATCCGTCCCTGCAATGTTTTTCCACTGAACATCTTTTGGCAGGTTACCATTGTCCAAACGTAGTGTTTCCATTGCACTGTTTTTTGCCACAATCAGAGCTTTATTCTCGAAGCCATCAATACCTCCAAGTGCGTAGGATGAGCAGAAGCGATCTGTGGGCATGATGGTCAATAAAAAGGGGTCATAGTATTGGAGAAAGCCATTATCGACACCATTGAAGAGCAGGAGGACCTGGATGCCACGATCAGACTGAATGAACAAGGTTTCAGGAGTGTGGTAGTTGAGCTCCTTTATCTGCCCCCTGGAGAAGCTGAAATCAAATTTTTGGTTGCCTTGGTTGACAGTGACCCGAGTGGGTTGGGAGGCCTGGAGATAAACAGTATCATAATTCTTCTGGAAGCTCAGAGGGGGCACAATGAAGCTGGTCCCCCAATTTCTTGCTGGAAGGAGCTGCTCATAAACATGGTTGCACTTTGAAAACCGCCATGTACATGTGTGACCAGTGAACACAGCAACTGGAAGTCGGGAAGAAACTATGCTCCCAGACAGGTCGTACTTGCCCTGTAGTTGCACACTTTCATACGGCTGCAGTTCAATTTCCAATTTACTGCCTTTTTCATAGGCACGACCCTGGAACTCGATTGTTGTTTCTGGGAATATCTCCACCCTGTTGTTTTCTTTTCCATTGATCACAGCAAACTCTTTATAGGAGCCATAGGGTGTTCCAGACGGAGTGAAGATGAAGTATTCTGTACCCCATTCTGTGGTTGGATACACCACAGCGGTATCTGTTGTGTACAGCTTGTAGCTAAAGGACGTCACAGACACATCTGCGGATGCTTCAATGCGCACAGTGTTTGGAGACTTTGTGGTGTCGTACATCTCTACAGCTGTTGGGACCTTGATGTTAACCCCTTCACCAGCCTTCAGAGTTTTCTCTTCTTTAAACTTTAAGGAAGGCACTTGCACAGTCACTTGAGTATTGGCCTGAACAGCTGTGATGTACAGCTGAAAGCTAGGATTATCATAGCGTGGTGCATAATTCTGCATAAATGATACAGCAAACTCCCTTCCCACCCAGCCAGCGCTGGATGGACCTGAAAGATGAGAAGTAATAGGAGATTCAAAGAAGGGCTTTTGTTTAAGTGTGCATAAAATAATTGATACACAAGGCTTCACAAGTTTTAAGGATGCTGAAATTATACAGAAAATGGCACCATTTGTGTCTGAACAGTTAAAGAGTTTATAAACATGCAATTAAAAAGTGTGCAAGGCTTCTTGGATAGCCCAAAACAATATGACAAAAAATGATGAAAGTCCTCCATTTCAAAAAGAAGAAGAAACAGGGATGAATTCTTGCCTATAATGATTTGATTGCTCCTCATCACATCCCTTTTTAAAAAAAAAAGTCTTTTAGATATTTACAACATGCAATAAGCCACATGCAAAATTTACTATATACATAGTAGCAAATATATTTTAAAAAGTGATTTTGCTTAGAAGATTGGCTCATTGGTAAACAAATTCACTTAATGAATAGACTGATTCATTTAACATTTTTTTTTAACTACACAACAAACAACAACCTGATTGTTCACAAATTAAAAATGTAAAATTTAAATTCTACTTACAACTCAGTAAAGCCCCAAACACATAAAACAGCAACAAGTTCCCCATGGCTGTAAGAAAAAACACGTTCTATTATAAATTATTTAAACATTTAAATTCAATGATGCAAATGCAATAATTTGAACAGGGAGGAAAAACTCAAACACACACTTATTAAGTGGCTATGTGAAAATCTTTTTGTACCATTCTACCCTTTTATAGATTCAAAAGGTAAAAAAAAAAAAAATCAACTAGCCAACCGGTGAGGGGAATAAAGCCTGTTGGTACAGTAATACCCTTCCTCTAAAACAAATACAAGCAGAATAAATTTTAGGTCCTGCTAGATGTTGACATAGGTGTGAACCTTAATACAAACCACATACTGGGAATCAAACATTTATGTTTTACTTTAAATTAACACACCCTGGAACTAAGACAACGTATCTGTTAGTTTAGGGAAATGCTAAATCACCTATTTTTTTGTTAATAAATAGAAGCATATGTAGATACAAAATGAAATGTACATCATCTGTATATACATGCATATCCTTTTTTAATGTCCTAGTTGTACTCATGAAGAAGTCTGAATAATTTAGAATATTAAATACTGAACTTGAACCTGTTTATTGCTTGTAACCTGCAAAGATTCATTTGGTGTTAAATACTTACCCTCAGTCAGATATCGGTTTATTTGATAATTGAGATACATTTAGTTTTATTTTGTTTTCTGGGGTAACCAACCAGTAATATCCAGGGTAGACTGGGCAAGACAAGATAGCTTTGCCTGTAAAAAGTATTCACTTTCTTGATTGTTTTAACCATTTTATTCATAATATAAGTCAGTCAGGGTCAATACAAATTGGCTGTAAACTATAGGAAAATCCTGGAGGACAAAATAACTGTTGTATGCACAGTCTGTCCCACCTCACCTGCTGAACCTTGGAACTCCTTCAGAGTGGTCCCAGGTATCACTATCACTATTCTCCTTCTTGGACAGTCACTGGCCTGCTCTTAGTAGATTTATAGATGTCTCATTCTACTTCTTTTGGCTTTTCTCTCTTCAGTGGTTGCCTCAGTGAGTCATCCTCCTCCAACTTACTCTGTCCTCAGCTTCCTCTGTCCTAAATCCAACTGCATCCATGTCCTCTCTAACTGGATCTGTATATCTCCTCTTTAGCTTTTCTCGTTGTCTTTTTCCTGGCAACTTAATTTCTAACACCCTTATACCAATAAACCCACTGTCCCTCCTCTGGAACCTGTGCAAACCATCTCAGTCTGGCCTCTAACTTTATCTCCCACTCCTTAAACCCGTGTTGTACCGTATCTTTGATGATCTCATTCCTAATTTTTTCCATCTTTTTTGCTCCCAAGGAGAACCTCAACATCTTAATTTCTTCTTCTTCCAGTTCTTTCTCCTGTCTTTTTGTCAATACCACTGTCTCCAGTTCATACATCATAGCTGGTCTCACCACTATTTTATAAACATTTCCTTTGACCTTTGCTGACACTCTTTTGTCACAAATCACTCTTGAAACTTTTCTCCATCCACTCCATCCTGCCTGCACTTTTCTTTTCCACTCTTTATCACACTCCCCATTTTCCAGGACAGTGGACCCCAAGTACTTGAAAACATGTGAACTCATTTTGTAAGAAGGCCCATCAGAGAATATATTTTTATTGGAAACTCTGTGGCTTTAATGTTGATTCTACTTTTATTAAAATGTTTTATTCATGTTTTATTGGGTCTCTTTTAACTTTTACCTTCATCTGTTGGTTTGGATTTTTAACACGTAAGAAGAGGAACAAACTCTTGGGGATTGTCAGGACGTGCACCAAAATTGCTGGCAGAGCCCTACAGGACCTCATTGACCTACATAAGATAAAGTCAGTGAACCAGACCAGGCTGATTCTGGCAGATCCAGATCACCCACTCCGTGGTGAGTTCATGTTGCTCTCATCTGGACACAGGTACCTATTGCCCAGATGTAGGATGAACAGGCTGAAAAATTTGTTTATCTCTGTAGTGCTCAGATTTCTCCATGAACAGTGGTGATTTCTGAACTGTTATTTTAGTGTCTTAATGTCTTGTCTAGTATGAATGGTTCATGTGTTTATTGACTGTGAAACAAATTGCTCCTTGGGGATAATAAAGATTCTTGAACTTGTATTTAAATGTAATTCTACACAGTGCCATTCAATGCTATCTGGCCAAGCTCTCCCCTGCCACAACCTTACAGTCTCCAATCTCCCTCAGGTTTCCTCTTCTACACAGCATGTAGTAGACCTGCTTACTCCTTCCTTCATTCTTATAGGTCACTCTATGTTCCTCCCTCTTTTAGAAATAGGTACTATACAGCCATTTCCATTCTCTTGGCAAAACCCACCACCACCTGTCCTTCCTAGTTTCTTTCTTTAACACCAAACCTACCCATCACTTCCTCATCCCCTCTGTTTCCTTCACCAACATGTCCGTTCAGATTTTCTCTGATCACCACTCTCTCCTCCCTGGGAATTCTCTCTATCATTTCATCTAGTAGATCAGGGGTGTCCAACCAGTTTTATAGTTGGGAACCATTGATCTAGATCATATTTGTCAAACTCAAGGCCCAGGGGCCAAATGTGACCCTCGCTGACATCTTATCTGGCCCCCCAAGATGATATTTTAAATGTAAAATACTTTTATCACTATTTTTTTCCAGTAAACTTTGATTATGATGTTAAAAGTGCAACAGGGAACATCAAATGAGACCAATCAACTCTTGTTGAGGAAGCTGCAACCAAAAAAAGATGTTGGATGTCTAACTAGAGTTAATTTAGAGTCTGAAACAACCCTTAATTTGAAAAAAAGTTTTAATTTTGGCCCCCTTTTGTAAGTGAGTTTGACACCCCTGATCTAGATTAAGTGATCAGGGGTACCCAACCAGTTCATTGTGATCTTCTGATAGATCCTGGATTGGTTAATCAATCATGAGATTTGTGGAACACGACTTGTTTTTTTTAAAAAAAACCTTATTATTTAATGTTCAAGCCTTGAGTATAAAGCACCCAACCCATTTTTAAGTTCTCACAAGACACACCTAACCCTTACCTTCGAAAGGACATACAAGAGGAGAAGATATTTTCAATGCATTTCTGGAGTTTGTTAATAAGAGCAACTTGCCCTTTGAGTAATTTTTATTAAAACTGATGGCGCTCCAGTGATGACGGGTCACACCAGTGGATTTGTTGCACAGTGCAAGCACAGTGAATTGTTCCCAGATATTCTGAACTACCACTGCATAATCCACCAACAGGCATTGTGTGGGAAGATTTTAAACATGAAAGAAGTGATAGATGTCACTATGAAGACTGCATGCTCTTTACAGGCAAGGAGTTTGCAGAGGAGATTATTTCAGGCTCACTTGGAGGAGGCGGGTGCAGACCACACAGACCTGCTGCTGCATATGGATGCTAGGAGGACACCGAGTGGTTTTTGGATTTAGCCTTTCTCACAGATCTTACTGACCTGATCAATTAACTTAATTTGAAACTTCAGGGAAAGGATAAAAATATAATACACAATTAGCTCAGTGAGCACTTTCGAAAGTAGGCTACAACTTCTCGCAATTCAACTGCAAAGCAGGGACTTGCAAAACTTTCCACACATGCAGGCAGATCTACAACATCAAAGACAAGATGTCACACATCTCAACATTGCAGTGTATTATGAGCAAGTTCAGGGAATCTTGTCAGAATTTGAGAGATGATATTTCGTCTTTGTATCCACTGAACCTGTTACAGCTACACGTGTCTCTTGGAAACATTGATGTGGTTGACACCGCGCCCAGATTAGTCTCCATGTTTCAGATGGACCACTCTGGTGTTAAAAATGAGATTTTGACTCAGCAAAATGACATTAGGATCAAATTGAGAGCAACAACTGACATGGATGGAGAGTTCTGGAGTCTGCAGTCAGAATAAAAGTATCCTAACATCAGAAGATCTGCTTTGAACTTGACAACACTTTCTGGAACAACCTACTTGTGTGGGACTACTTTCTCTCACTCTAAGAACAGACTGATGACCATATGGTGACCTGCCTACGCCTTGCAACCACCTCATATTGCCCCACCTATGCGAACCTGGCTTCCTCCTCCCAGTGTCAGAAGTCCCACTGAGGTAGAGACATAGATTTATTTTCATATAGCTTGCATAAAAAATTGTCTCTTCTAGATCTGTCACAATTGGGTCTGTTTGTTGATTTTTAATTACATATCAGGCCAGACTATTGTATCATACACTGACTGGCAACTTTGTGTGAGTGTTATGACTAGACTAGTAGGTTTCAGCAAGCTGCCAATTTCAAAAGTAGATCTTGGTTCAAAACAAGTTGGACACCCCTGATCTAGATCCTTCCAAAATTAATTTTTCTCCTTTATGTCACATCCAACCTATGCAGCAGAACCACTGATAACATTTAGCATCAGACCTTCTACTTTTATCTTCAGACACATCACCCTAACACTTTTTTCACCTCTACTACATTCTTTACCATCTTCTCCTTCAGAACCACCCCTCCTCCATTTCTTTTTCTATCCACACCATGGTAAAACAGTTTCAACCCCACTTTTAACGATGTGAGTTTTGATGCCCTTCCACTTAGTCTCTTGGACACATAAAACATCTACCTTCCTTCTCTGCATCATGTCAGTCAGCTCTCTACATTTGCCTGTCATTGTCCCCACATTTAGAGTTGCAACCCTCAGTTCTACATTCTTGACTTTCCTCTTCTCCCTCTGGCTCCTGACACATTTCCCTCCTTGTGGTCTTCGACTAACAGTAGCACAATTTCTGCCCTCACTCTGCTGGTCAACAGCACCGGTGGCAGTCGCTATTAATCTGAACCTTGACCGATACGGTATGGTGTTGAACTTGTGAATTTGCATATTAGTTTTGGCAAAAACGTTTAACATCGTATGCCCTTATAACACAACCCTCACCATTTACTCTGACTTGGGTCCGGCACAAGAGATACACTGGCTTGTGCTCCTTAGCTGGTTTTTAGATGTCTCATAATTATTTCATTTATT